GAAAGATTCCAACTTACCTAGGAACGACCAGGAATATTTAGAAGTTTAATTATCATCTCTATTTCCCTAATTATCGTCTCTATCCCTTTTCCATGAAACAAAAGTGTTGTTCTTTTTCTTCCTCATTCAAGGGTGCCTGGGTATCTTTGCCTCCAAAACATAGTGGCTCAACCCTTTGATGTCTACCTACAGATAAGGTCTCTCTCATCCCCCGGCCGCTTTGTTCTTCCTATTTAGTTTCTTTTGAAATTCTTACAATCCTTCATTTGCATTCAGTCCAGACTGGTGATAAGGCACCCACTGTGCAACATACAATACTTAATGTATATGCAAACTGCCGGCTAGAGAAACATTTCTTGTTGGAGAAAAATCTGTTTTTCTCCTTTGCTGGTGCCAAGTCTCTAGCCATAGTCTTGAGTATATTTTCAGTATAGCTACATAACTCTTTACATAGTATCTGTAGGTACATTTCACAATGATATTATTGACCAGTGTGACACCAACTTTTATTTGAGACCTCACACAACATTCTTTGGTGAACCAGAATGTCTCCGCCAGAATCAGGAGAGTCCAGTGACCCCTCTGCACCCCCTTGTCAGTTGGCATTGAGAGGTTTATGGTCTGTCTGTACTGGGTGTGCACTAAGTGAGTGTTGGGCTGTGTGTGCTGGGAGAACACTTGGCGTGGTGGGTGGGTGTGTAACCACTGGGTGTGTGCTGGCTGTGGTGCGTGTTGGGTGCATACTGACTGTGTGTGCACTGGGTATGGTGTGTATGTGTATATGTTGGGTGGGCACTTGGTGTATGCACTAGGTATGCACGAGGTATGGTGTGTGTGTGCACTGGGCATGTTCTGATATTAACCCTCAGCTCACATTTCCTGTTCCCCACAGAGTGCCCCTCCAGGATGCTGGACTCTCCCATGGAGCTGGAGCCAGGCCCTGGGCCAGAGCCAGCGTCTCATGACCTCGATGGGAGCTGTCGGAGAGGGGCAGCCATCACCGTGTCCAGGAAGCAGAGCTGGGCCAGGTTCTCCTGTGGCATCCGGGACGTGCCATGTAGCTCTTACAGCAGGAAGGTGTCTGCCAGCCCCACGGCCTCGGCAGAGCTGCAGGATGAGGGTGAAGGGGTAGGGCCAGTTGCCTGTGGGCGAGAGACTGACGGGGACCCCCAGTGCCCTCTGCGACCCCAGGAGCTGTTCTCCCCCACCCACACAGAGGAGCCAGCCATTAAGGATGAGGCCTGGCTTGTGGAGAGCCCCCCAGCCCCAGCGCCCCCCACCCCTCAGCCTGGCCTGGCCCTAGCGACCCCTGCCCCTCAGCCCGGCCTGGCCCCTGGTGATGAGGAAGCTGAGTCGATGTGCAGGTATGTGGAGCTTTGCAGTGCTGTGAGGTCTGCCAGTCATGGCGCCTACTTGCAGAACCTGGAGAGGAGCAGCCGCCACTGGATCCTCTCCTCGGGCAAGGCCCAGATCCTGGAGGAGTTGGCCCCCAGCGCCAGTACAGAGTTGAAGGAGGTGGGCGCCATGGGCAGCGAAGGGGAGATCTGGTACAACCCCATCCCTGAAGATGAGGACGTTGTGGGTGCCAGGCAAGGCACCGAGCCTGGCAGCTCCTGGAGGAAGTGGGGCAGTGGCACAGGGAGCCGGGAATCTGACAGGGACAAGGCCAGGCCCAGCAGGGCAGAGCCAGGTGATGAAGGGCCCCCCAGGAGCATCGCCAGGCAAGTGGAGAGCCCCAGCTCACAGAATACATCTACCCCAGCTGGGCCAGTGGGCCGAGGCGAGGAGATGGGTGCCAGCAGGACACAGGACTATGGTGAGGGGTGTGGTGCTAACAGGGTGTGTTGTGGGTTGAACAGCATGGCAGAAACATGAGACAGAGAGCTGCTTCCACGTGGCCCCACCATCTTCTGGTGGCAGACGCACTCAGATCTCATGAGCCCCTCCCCTCCCATGGCCCTCCCTTGCTGGTTCCCTGATCTCATGGGGCACCCGATCCCGTGGGGTCCCCCTCTTTCCATAGAGCCCCTCCCCAGGTCCCTGTCCCTGCATCTGCATCCCCACTGCAGCCTGGTTCCCTGTGTGGGATCAGCCACACTTTCCGTCCCCAGCAAGTCAGTCTTGGCTGCTCTGGGTCCCACAGGCCCTGTAATGGCCCTTCCCTTCCATGCCCCAGATGAAGGGGCTCCCTTTCTCCATGCATGCCAGTGTCCACTGCCCGTCTCATCAGGTCTCTCCCCGCAGGGAAGTTGCCGATTTCATGTGTGAGCGTGGCTGTGGGGTTGGCTGGCCCATCCCCGCCGCTGAGCCCCAGCGTCTCCAAGAAGGGGCGCTCCCTGGGCAGGGTGAAGTCCCCGGGCACCGTGCGCCGCCTTTCCCTGAAGATGAAGAAGCTGCCTGAGCTGAGGAGGAAGCTGAGCCTGCGTAGTGCCCGGCCCCGGGGGCAGGAGCCCGAGGGCAGTGGCGGCACCTCACCCCAGGAGGCCCTCAAGGAGCCGGGGAATGTCATCAGCCGCTACCACCTGGACAGCAGCGTGGCATCCCAGCAGGGCCCACACCGTGCCAAGGCAGCCAGCAAGGGCGGCTACCTGAGTGATGGTGACTCCCCTGAGCTGCTGGCCAAAGCGGACAAGCGTGCCTGTCCCGGGCCAGAGGGGCATGAGCCTGGGGGCAGCTTGGACGTGGATGCCTTCCAGCCCTACAGCTCCTTGGAACAGCCGCGCTGTGTGCAGCCCATCTCAGGCCTAGTCAGTGTCCACCTGCACGGTGTGGGGGACCTTAAGCCCCCAAAGGCTGAGTCCAGGGAGGTGTTCTGCGTCCTGCAGGTGGACGCAGCCCCCAAGGCGCGCACGGCCCTGCTGCCCTGGACAGCCGCCTTCCTCAGCCTCAACCACACCTTCAACTTGGAACTGGAGGGCGCCCGACACCTCAAGGTCATTGTCTTCTCTTGGGATCTGGCTACCTGCCGGAACCGTGTGTGCTGCCATGGCACCATTGTCTTGCCCTTCGTCTTCAGAGGTAACGGGAGCAGCCAGTGAGGCAGGGGCTCTAGTGATCGGGAAAGGGCTGAGAGGGGGCAGTGGCATCCAGGCAGGGGGCAATGCCCAATGGGGTTCAGATGTACAGGGCTCTGGGGGGCACATACAGATGAGCAGGGATCAGCGCTCCATGGGGTTCAGCTGGGCAGGACTCTGGGGGGCACCTACAAATGGGCAGGAGGCAGGGTCCAATGGTGCTCAGATGGACAGGACTGTGGGGGGCATAGGGCAGAACTAAGGGGGGGCAGATGCTGTGGTTTCCCAGCTGGCCCTTGCTGATCGTCCACATCTCGCTCCGGTCTGACATGTGCCGGTGCCCTCTGCTCTTCAGGGTGCAGGGCCCAGCAGCTGGCAGTGCGGCTGGAGCCGCGCGGGCTGCTTTACTGCAAGCTGACGTTGGTGGAGCAGTGGGACATGCCCAGCAGCCCCAGTGACCGGGAGCCCCGGGTCTTTGGCGTGGAGCTGCGTCACTTGGTGGAAAGGGAGAACACTGCCACCAAGGTGCCGCTGCTGATCCAGAAATGCGTCTCCCAGATCGAGAAGCGGGGACTGAAGGTGAGTGGTGGGGGAGGCGATAGTGGGGGAGTGGGCTCTGCAGGACACCTGGCACTCCAGTCCCATGCCACGCAGCTAACACAAGCACAGCAGGTACATGGCGAGGAGCCGGTGAGCACGGCTCCTGAACAGGCAGGATCCCAGCAGGCTGTGGGCTCTGTGCTGTCTTCCCTCTTTGTATCCCTATCCCCTCCCTATGCTGCCCCTTGGGTCCTGGGACAAATGGGGAGGGCTGGGCTCTCCCGCTGACAGCACCTCCTCTGCCCAGATTGTAGGGCTTTACCGGCTGTGCGGCTCGGCAGCTGTGAAGAAGGAACTGCGTGATGCCTTCGAGAGGGACAGTGCAGCTGTGACGCTCTCTGAACAGCTGTACCCAGACATCAACGTCATCACAGGTCAGTGCCCAGGTACTCCTCACCCCCATGCAGCACCAGCACAGCTCCCAGATTGCCACCCCCGCACGCACACTCAGGCAAATCAGGAGGCTCACTGCAACACCTGGCCACTAGACCCCACTCCCCTCCCAGAACTGAGTGTAGAACCCAGGAGTCCTCATTCCCAGTCCTCCCGTTCTAACCCACTAGATCCCATTCTTCTCCCAGAGCAAGGTAAAGCACCCAGGAGTCCTGTCTCCTGGCCCCCCCTCTAATCTGGTCCAACTAACTTGATACCTTTTTGTGATGAGATTACAAGTTTGGCTGATAAAGGTAATAGTGTACCTGTCATATACATAGAGTTCTGCAAGGCATTTGACTTGGTACCCCCTGACATTTTGATTAAAAAACTAGAACAATATAAATATAACAGCACACATTAAAAATTGGCTCACTGATAAGTCTCAAAATGTAATTGTAAAAGGGGAATTGTCATCAAGCAGGTGTGGTTCCAGTAGTGTCCCACAGGGACTGGTTTTTGGCTCTACGATATTTAACTTTTATTAATGGCCTGGTGAAAGAAAACATAAAATCATCACTAATAAAGTTTGCAGATGACACAAAAGTTGGGGGAGTGGCAAATACTGAAGAGGGCAGGTCACTGATACAGAGTGATCGGGATCGCTTGGTAAACTGGGCACAAGCAAACAATGTGTGTATTAATAAAGCTAAATGTAAATGTAGACATCAGGAACAAGGCCACACTCACAGGATGGGGGGATGCTATAGTGGGAAGCAGGGACTCTGAAAAAAATCTGGTAGTTGTCTTGGTGGATAATCGGCTGAACAGTGGCCGAAAGAGTCCTTGGATGCATAAAGAGGGGAATCTTGGGCAGGAGCAGAGAGGTTATTTTACCTCCGTATTTGGCACTGGTGCGATCCTGCTGGAATCCTGTGTCCAGTTCTGGTGTCCACAATTCAAGAAGGATGTTGATTAATTGGAGAGGGGTCAGAGAAGAGCCATGAGAATGATTGAAGGATTAGAAAATATGCCTTACAGAGATAGACTTTAGGAGCTCAGTTTATTTAGCTTAACAAAGAGAAGGTTAAAGGGTGACTTACTTAGTCTATAAGTACCTACATTTGAAAGAAATATTTAATAAGAGGATCTTCAATCTAGCAGAGAAAACTGTAACACCCATCCAATGGCTGGGAGTTGAAGCAGACAAATTCAGATTGGAAATAAGGTGTATATTTTAACGGTGAGAGTAATTAACCATTGGAAAAAGGGTTGTGGTGGATTCTCCATCTCTGACAGTTTTTAAATCAGATTGGATGGTTTTCTAAAAGCTCTGCTCTTAGAATTATTTTGGGACGTTCTCTGGCCTGTTATACAGGAGGTCAGACTAGATAATCATAATAGTCCCTTCTGGCCTTAGACTCTCTGAACCCACTAGACCACACTCCCCCTACGGGTAGAACCAGGTAGTCCTGACTCCTAGTCCCTCTGCCGTAGCCACTAGACCCCACTCACCTCCCAGAGACTGAACCCAGAAGTCCGGGCTCTCTGTGCACTCACTGTAGTTTCTATAGGCTGCTCAGTGACGTGAGACCTGTGCCCTCCCCCGAATGGGACCCAGGAGGGACCAGTGTGGTTGAGGTGCCTGCCAAGGAGCTGACAGAAGTCTGGCCTTTTTCCTGCAGGGATCCTGAAGGACTATCTGCGGGAGCTGCCCACGCCCCTCATCACCAAGACCCTTTACCAGGTGGTGTTGGAGGCCATGGCCCAGCGATCGCCCCAAGACATGCTTAGCAGGCAGAATGCAAAGGAGACGATCGCTCTGCTGGACTGCCTGCCGGAGATTGAGAAGGTGAGTGCCTGCCAGTGGGCGGAGCAGGGGAGTGTGGGCAGGTAGGAAAGGAGACCCGGCTGTGGAGCCAAGCCATGGTGCCCTTGGAGCAGTCCCGAGGAGCTGGTTGGTGCTGCTGCAACAATGTCACCATAGTCTGGCACATTCCCATCTCCTACATGGGAGGCTGTGGTCAGCTCTGCCCCTGCCACACACATGGTGGCTGGGCATGTGCATGGCACAGCTCCAGGCATGGAGTCAGCACTGTCCTGCTGCACATGTGAGAGCCAGGCATATGCATGGCACAGATCTAGACACGGAGCCAGCGCTGCCCCTCTCACACACACGGGGGCTGGGCATGCCTGTGACAGTGGTTGACAGTGCTGCTCCTGCTGAATATGTGGGCCAGGAATGTGTGTGGCACAACCCTGGCATGGAGCTAGCACTGCCACACACACGGGGGCTGGGCACACCTGGCACTACCACCGGCACGGAGCCAGAGCTGCTCCTGCCACACACACGGGGGCTGGGCACACCTGGCACTGCCACCGACACGAGCCAGAGCTGCCCCTGCCACACACACGGGGGCTGGGCCCACCTGGCACTGCCACCGGCATGGAGCCGGCGCTGCCCCTGCCGCGCACACGGGCTGCGCATGCCTGTCACAGCGCTGGATACATGGGGGCTGGGCACTCCTCTGGCACAGCTTCAGGCACGTAGCCGCTCACTGCTGGGGCCTGAGATCCTGGGCGGCTTTCCAAGTTGGCTGCCCCTTGGGATTGAGGGATTTCACCGCAGTGAGATCAGAGGAAGTATCACAGTTCTCATAGACTAACAGATTTTAGGGCTGGGAAGGACCATTAGATCACCCAGTCTGACATCCTGGGCAGCACTGGCCCTTACGTGTCACCCAGTTACCCCCATGTTGTGTATTGAGCCCAGTAACTTGTGTTTGGCTAAAGCATCTCCCAGCCTGGCCCCAGCCTGGCTTTGGAGCCATCAAGAGATGGAGAATCCACCACTTTCCCTGGAGTTTGTGCCAGTGGTTCATCCCCATCCCTGGTAAACACTTGTGCCTGATTTCTAGTTTGAATTTATCTGGCTTTAGCTTCCAGCCACCTAGGCTTCAGTGTCAGGCCGTCCCTCCTTCCCCCAGCTTCTCCGAGTCAGGTACTTTCCCTCCAAGGAGCCTGGCAGCTGGGCACAGACTAAGGCTGTGACCTCTGAGGTACAAAAACGTGGGATTTCTGGGATGATCCTGAGCCCACAAAACTGGGTGGGTGGGGCTGGGGCAGGGCCTGGACTGATGCTCCCCTCTCCCCAGGCTACGCTGACCGTGCTGCTGGACCATCTCAGCTTGGTGTCCTCCTTCCACGACTTTAACCGCATGAACTCCCAGAACATTGCCGTATGCTTCGGGCCAGTGTTGCTCAACCAGAATCAGGAGCCGTGGCGCCAGAGGGCCCGCAGCTACGCCCACTGCGAGGAGATCTCCAGTGCTGTTGACTTCAAGAGGCACATTGAGGTGCTGCACTATCTGCTGCAGGCCTGGCCTGGTAAGTGCAGCTGAGGGGAGGGAGAGTCTGGCCACAGGACTGCTGCGGGGTGGGGGAGAGTGCCGCGGGGGGCTTCCTGCAGGGTTGGGGGGAGAGCGCGCCACCGGGGGCCTGCTGCGGGGTGGGGGGAGAGCGCGCCACCGGGGGCCTGCTGTGGGATGGGGGTGGGGGGAGAGCACGCCACCAGGGGCCTGCTGCGGGGTGGGGGCGAGCGTGCTGCCGGGCCTTCTTCCCTTGGGATTGAAGCCCCGATTGGCCTGTCTGGCTGTGGGAGGAGAGCATTGTGGTAACTGCGATCTGTCTCCCCAGCCCCCTCCAGGAAAGGGTGTGGCGTGGAGGGCCGGGAAAGGGCCCAGTCCACCTGCCTGCGGCAGAGGCGCTGTCCTACACTGCGGCTGGACCTGCTGGAGAGCGAGGTGGTGGCTCGTCACCGGCCCCGTGGCCTGGAGAGCCCCCCCACCAACCGCTACGCTGGGGAGTGGAGTGTGTGCAGCCAGGAGTACGGGCTGGTGGCCGGGCCGGGGCACGAGGTCAACTACGCCGAGGTGGCCGGCAGCGAGAATGAAGTGCTGGACCTGCGGGAGGGGCTGGGCGGCCCCAGCCAGACGGTCTTCGTGGGGGACTTTGCCCTGGTTGACGACCCTGATGCGCCCTTCAGCCCCCGCCTGAACCTGAAGGACTTCGATGCCCTCATCTTGGACCTGGAGCGAGAGCTCTCCAAGCAGATCAACGTGTGCCTGTGAGTGGCCTGGCTGCTCCACCACAGTGCCTGACTCCCCCTGCCCTTATGCTCCCTGGAACCATCCACATCCCCTGCCGGGCTTCAGTGTCACCAAAACACGAGCCAGGTGGTGGGAGCTGGGCACAGCCTGGGGCCATGACACCAGCAGGGGAGGTGCCAGGCACCAGATGGTGGGGCTTCAGCTAAAGAATTTTAGGCTCCACGCTCAGGCGCCTGGCCCAGCCCTGTAGCAGGCAATGACTCATGCCGTCAGCCTTAATCCAGCAACCTGTCCAGGAGCAGGGGCCCTGAGCAGCAGGTACAGCGTACAGAAGGTGTTCTCATGCTCTCTCGTGGGCTCCAGCACACTCTGCCCTCGGGGCTTGGAGCTCTGGAGAGACCAACACAGTGCACGCCTGGGTGTGGCCGCCGAGCTCCCAGGGGCGCACACCCAGGTGTGGCCGCCAAGCTCCCAGTATTAATAGGAACTCAGAGATTAAGCCAAAGCCATTTGGAGAGTGACCAAATATGTGTAGCACTTGGCTCTCGCAGCTTTTTGATTTGCACAGCATGGATGGGGGCTTGGAGACACCAGGGCAGTGCTCCACCAGGCCAGTGTGTGGCAGCTCACTGAGGTTGGGGCTCTGGGGCTGGAGTATGGATGAGGGGCTGAGCCAGCCAGGGGGCTGCACTCAGGGTCACTCACTGCTGCAGTGTTTGTCACTCTCAGCCTACCGTGGGTGACATAGTAGCTCTGTCTGGCTACAGGGCAGCATCACAGTCCTGTGTGACGGGCTGGGAGGAGCCTGGATCCTGGCGTTCCCTTGGCCTGGCTCTCTGCCCTGGGGCAATACCATGTGAAGGGAGCGCACAGGGCAGGGGGAGCGGCTCCCTCCTGAGCCTTCTCCTTGCCTCTGCATTTCAGAAGCCAAAGAATCAGCCTGTGAGCCTGAGCCTGTCCCCTGGCTGGGCTGGAGCAGAAGTTTGTGGGCACCGCTTGTGTGACCCTGGCAGGGGGCTTTCCAGGCCGTAGCAGCTGTGCCAATATGGTGCTTCACGCAGGCTAGTCAGGAAGGCAGCGCCAGGCCCTGGGCATGGCACGGGGGGCGGGTCAGGACCACCATGTACCTATCCCTCCCATGGCATGTATTTCTGGTCAGCAGGGAGCCTCCACGGGGTAACAGCCCTCCCAGCCCCCAAGGGTGGTGAGTTTTGATGCCCCTTCTAGCATCCCAGGTGGAGCCTTCCTTGCAGGTGGGAGTTTGACTTGGGTCTCAGGAAGATGGGTGTCAGGGCTGCCCCGGGGCTCTAGCTGCAGTGGGCTCAGTCTGGTCTGCTGTGGGACTGGCCTCGCAGTCAGTGTTTTGCTACTAAGTGTCACTTGGGTGGGGGGCAGCCTTGGGCCAGGAGAGAGCCAGGGCTAAGGCCTGTTCCTGGCCTCCCACCATCCCAGGCGAGGCGTCCCCCCTGCATAGTGTTAGAATATCAGTAAGGGTCCCTGACGTCCATCATGTGGGCTCTGCTCCGGGGCTGCTTCACACAGAAGCCACAATCCACTGCACCCTGCCCGGGAGGAGGAGGGGCTGTGCCAGGCATGGCACCTCACTCTCCGCTTGCCATGGCATTAGTTAGTATCTTGATGCCATGTTTACATCCTCCCCCAACCTGACAATACTCCAGGCTCCCCCAGCCTGGCTGCTGCCTCCAATCCTACTCGGCTGCAGCTCTTGGTGGAACAGGGAGGGGAGACTAGGTGACCAGATGTCCTGATGTTATAGGGACAGTCCCGATTTTTGGGTCTTTTACTTATATAGTCTCCCATTACCCCCCCACTCCCTGTCCCGATTTTTCACATTTGCTGTCTGGTCACGCTAGGGGAGAATGGGCTGCAGCCCTGGGATCCCATGGCATGTGGACAGACCAGCATGAGCAAGCGATTGGGGCCTGGAGTTCATTGTGACTGCTTCTCATGGGCATCTTTGGTCTCCCAGTCTCTGCCCCACCCTGGAGCCGGCTGCCACTGAGAATCCAGGGCCTGGGGTTGGCTGCCAAGCCCCCAGCCTGGGCTTTCCCTGCGCCTGCTGTTCAGGCCAGGCCTGGCAGGGAGGCCTCCCATGCACTCTCGACCGAGCAGCAGCAGGCACAGCCCTGGATGTGATCTGGAGGCCCCAGCTCACTGGCTGTCACCTCCACCTTCTGCATTACAGAGTAGGGGAAGCTACTGCACAGGCTACACCAAGGCCCCTGGCTTCCGTGCAGTGCAGCCTCCTTGGAGCTCCAAGCTGGGGCCCTGCTGGGTGGGGGGTGGGGGGGGTGTATGTGTGGTGCTCAGGGCTGGTGGGGAGCAGGAGGTGATTCCCTAGATGTGCCTTTCTCCAAATGGATCCCATGAAAGGGCAACACATGGGCAGTCTGGCCCCAAGCTAAGCTCAAGGCATCAATTGCCCTCTTGCACCCAGGCCAGCTCTGGCATGTTCCTGGGCACTGCTGGGATATCCGAAGCTGCTGTGCCTTGCAGAGCCTGCACCTGCAGCGCTGATTTCAGGGTGCCAGGCACCTGGGCACAGCTGCCTGAGGGTGCTCACTGCAGGGCCTCATGGCAATGCACCCAATCCCCTCACACAACCACACTCCAGGGAGCCCAGTACTGGAGAGGCCAGCTTTATTTATAGTTCTTGCTTGTGTATGTATGGTGTAGGGGGGGTGTATACATGTTTGGGTGGGTGTGCAGCGTAGGGGGCGTGTGTGTGTGGTGTCAGGTGGGTGTAGTTTGTGCATATGTTTGCGTGTGTGTGTGTGTGTATGTGTGTGGGAGGGCATAGGGGTGTGGTTTGTGTGTACATTTGAGGAGGTGGGGGATGGACGTTTGTATGGTGTAGGAACATGTTTGTATGTGGTGCGTGTGCATGTTTGGGGGTGGTGGTTTGTGAGTGGGATGTGTGTGTATATGTTTATGTGTAGTGGGGTGTTTGTGTGTACATCTTTGGTGGTGGGATGTGTGTGGTGTAGGAATGTGGTTTGTGTGTGTGTGTGTGCATATTCGTGAAGACTGGCTGCTCCGTGTGGGTATTTAACGGATGGATTTTCACAGTGTTTATCAAATATTCAGTTATAGGGGAAAAAAGCCTAGGGAAGGGGTAAAACCATGCAGAGGGAAGGGGTAAAACCATGACACTTGCTCTTCCCCTCACTCCAGACTCCAATAGAAATTCACCCCATCCCCTCTCAAAGCACAAGGCCCAGTACCCCCTTCTGAGCTGCTTTGGTAGGGTGTAAAAGTGCCCAGAGTTTGGGGGCGGTGGCCCTTCACCCAATATTAGCTTAAGGGAACCCATGTGAATGTGAAGGGAGGGCTGCAGTTTCTCCTGCCATGGATGAGTCTGGGACTGAAGAAGAGGGTCACAGCGGAGTGCCACCATGTTATAGAAGCAGCTTTGCTTGGGGTGCCCTGTCTGGGGAGAGGGCTGCATGGTCCAGCCATTCCCCCCGTTGCCTGGCACTCCCAGCCATGGGGAGTTGGGGATGGCTACTTATTGTGTGAATTAAGGAAATGCCCATGCCAGGTTGGGAGTCAGCATGGTACCTCTGTATGCACGCCACTGCCAACACCAGCAATAAAGGACACCGGCTACACCTGCTCTTGGGTGTGTGCGTTTGTGTGTGCGCGCATAGGGGGTGGGGGCCACATTCACCAGGGGAAGAGGGTGCCTCTGCCCGGGCTCCAGCTGCCTCCGACCCAGCTGTTATAGGTGCAGAACTCTCAGGCCGTGGCAGCAAGGGCTGGGTGGGGTCAAGCTGGGGAGCTGGGCAGCAGCCTTGCTAATGTGGGCAGGAAGGGCTGTCCCCTTCATTGCCCTCCCTGGGGTGGCTGTAGGCACCAACTTTGCCTTCCTATCTGCTGGGCCGTGTCACTGTGCTGGAGCTGGGGGTCCCTGCAGGCAGGAACAGTGATGTTTACTCCTGGGGGAATGCTGCACCAAACATTTAAAAGTTCAGTGTAGAATATTTTAAAATTCTGCATATTTTGTAACAATAACACAATGTACTCACATCAATTTCAACTATTTTGATAATTTAGTTCAAAATACCTGTCAGCAACTATATCTGTAACAATACAGACAACAAATGAACTTCCTCCAGGGGTAGAGAGTTAAAGAAACCCCTACAACAACCCAATTCCTCTTCTCTCTCCCTGCCCCAGCTGGGGAGGACAGACACTCACACCCCCCTCCCTCCAGAGCTCAGCTGCGAGGTGCCCCCCAGTCCAGCCACCCACACTCCTTCCTCTGCACAGCCCAGCCATGCCCCCCCAGCCTAGACACCCACACTTCCTACCCCCCAGAGGGAGAAACAACCTGATGCTGGGTCCAGGGCTTGTATGGAATTTCCTGCATGCCACCTCTTTCTAGGGTGACCAGATGAGGGGAAGAAAATATTGGGACACATGGGGGGAGGGTGCCCCCCCTGGAAGAGAGAGAGAAAAAACAAACAGTGCTGCCCGCGGATATCAGGACAAAATGTGTCCCGACCAAAGATCGGTCGGGACGCGGGACAGACACCGAAATAGCGGGACGTCTGCTTACCCTACCTTTTTCCTTCAGGGCATGCTGGGAACTGCAGCTGCTGGGATGACTCCAGCTTTGACCCCCTCCTCCCAGCAGCATCTTCTATTTGGGAGCTGTGCTCTGCGAAGTCCAGTGGCCCCTACTGGCAGCTAGCAGTGCCAATTCTGCCAGCACAAAGGAAATGCTGCACAGAACATTAATTCTGTGCAAATGCTGCATTGTGCAGTGGTGCAGAATTCCCCCAGGAATAGATGTTTCCACTGCTCAAGTGCCGTGTGGAGGCAGCAAGGCCCCCCCTACTGGCCTCAGTCTAAAACTGCAATGTGTGCCAGTTGCTGCAGCTGGAATGGGCAGAAAGGATACACGGGAGGAGCACGGCCTGCCTCAGGTCATGCCTGCTGCTCTGGCAGGGGGAGCAAGGTACAACTGTTCCTCTCAGCATGGGCAGCTGGCTCCAGGCTCTGCCCCTGCATCAGAGACCATGGCCCCCTGTTTTGGGTGCTGACTCTGCTGGCTTTTAACCCTTTGCCAAGCTAGATCATGGCCTTGCTGTGGGGCAGCACTTGGGCACCAGAGCCTGAAAGCAGCAAGGAGCTAACATTGAAGGCACAGTGAGAGTGCCCCTCATCCCAGCCTGACCTCCAGGAACTGGGCAAGAGTATGGGCAAGTGGGCAGGGAGCAGCAAACCTGTGCTGGGGGGACAGCCCCTCCCCCAGCCCATTGAGCAGAGGAGCCCTTGTGCCCCACACCCCAGCCAGTCTCCTCTCCATTGCCCCACCACAGGCTGGGTGAGGGGCACAAGGGCTCCTCTGCTCAATGTGCTGAGAAAGGCATGGAAGGGAGGGTGGGGGACTGTGGTTCCAGCTGGGTAGAGCCCTTGGCCCAATTCTCCGCCTCCAGCAGGAGTGGTAGCTTAGGCCGGGGCTGGAAACTACAGTCCAGCTCTTGCTTGCTGACAGTAGGGACACCTGTGCCAATACCACAGACTCACAGAAATGTAGGGCTGGATCTCGAGAGGTCACCCCATCCAGGCCCCTGCACTGAGGCAGGCCCAAGTAAACGTAGATCATCCCTGACAGGTGTTTGTCCAACTTGTCCTTAAAAACTTCCAATGACGGGGATTCCACAACCTCCCTTGGAAGCCTGTTCCAGAGCTTAACTAATGTCAGCATAAGAAAGTTTGCTCCTAAGTGACCAGAGGAGCTAGCGAACAGGAGCAGCTAACAGGAGTTTGGCGAGGGAGTTCTCCAGATGAAGGAGGAGCGATTACATGACCCTTGGGGTAAGTTTGTTGTGTGTGTTTGTGGTGTGCTTGCTGCTTGACTGAAATATACCGTGTGGTCTGTTTGGGGAAACCATGTGCTGACCCCGTGTGTGCTGAGCCTAGGAGCCTGCTAGGCAAGGCTGAGAGCTTCTTAATGAGGCTTTGATTCCTAAGCCCTTTAGCACCCGTCAACCCTTAACCGAGGGTGGAGCTACTCAGGAAGAGCAGAGCTTTAAAACGCCCGAAGCGACCAGAGAAGCTAGGGAACAGGAACGGCAAACAGGAGCAGCTCATGGGAGTTTTGCAAGGGAGTTCACAGGGGGAGTATGTGTGTGTGTGGTGGGAGAGTGCTAGATACACCATTCTTTAAACTTAAAGCTCCCTGATAAAAACAAATCCCCTGTGGACCGCCTGATAAACACCCCCTGATAAAAAACAAAACAACAACAAAAGGAACGAGCTTCAGGAGTAAAAAAGAGAATGCAAGCAGAAGTCCAGCAACACTGTGGGAACTATCCAGTTTATTGCACCCAATGCAGCATATATTATTACCTGCCCTATGGGCAGGTGGCATATGTATGCATTCAGTGCAAGGAGCTCCTGGCCCTCAGAGACCATGTACAGGTGTTGGAGACCAGAAGAGTTGAGCTGGAGGGGCTAAGGGAGACAGAGAGGTACAACAGATGAGACTTTCTAGGGCACAGTACAATGGTCCCACCCCCGGTCTGACAGCCTCTGTGCTGTTGAGGAGGATGGAAAGTCTCAGGGAAGGAGAACATCTAACTGGAGCAGAAGGAAATGATCCCATAGTTGGGACCTTCCTTCCAGATGATGTTGTGGTTTCCTCTCGCACTGAGGATACCTTTCCGGGGGAGGGAATTCCAATTAGGAAGAGACAGGTATTAGTAATGGGCAATTCAATCATTAGAAACATAGCTGGGTATGCTACTTACTGAGGTGTCTTCACTGCGGTAGGTCAACTGCTGCTGCTCCCCCGTCGACTCCGCCTACGCTTCTCACTCTGGTGGAGGACCAAAGTCCACGGGAGAGCACTCGGCAGTCGATTTATTGCGTCTTCACTAGACGCGATAAATCGAACCCCGGTGGATTGATCGCTCCGGAGGTAAGTGTAGACATGCCCACAGAAACTTGGTGGAATGAGGATAATCAATGGGACACAGTAATACCCGGCTACAAAATATATTGGAAGGACAGAACAGGTCGTGCTGGTGGGGGAGTGGCACAATATGGGAAAGAAAGCATAGAATCAAATGAAGTAAAAATCTTAAACGAAATGAATCACTCTGTACCATAGAATCTCTATAGCTATTTCCATGCTCTAATAGTAATATAGCAGTAGGGCTATATTACTGACCAGCATGGTGATGACTGAGAAATACTCAGGGAGATTAGAAAGACTATTAAAATAAAAAACTCAATAATAATGGGGGATTTCAACTATCCCCATATTGACTGAGTACATGTCACCTCAGGATGGGATGCAGAGATAAAGTTTCTTGACACATTAAATGACACGCCAATGTGCAGAAAAATTAGCAAATATGGCAGGCAACCAGCTTGGCTCAACAGTGAAACCTTTGATGAACTTAAACACAAAAAAGAAGCTTACAAGAAAAGACGGTTACTCACCGTTGTAACTGTTGTTCTT